GGGTTTTTTGCCTTCCTCTGGATCAGCTGTGGGTATAGGATTATAACTTTTTCATTTTTTTAATGGTTGAACTGGATGGACTTTTGTCTTTTTTCAGCTATACGAACTATGTAACTTGTAAAGGATAGGAGGGTTTAGTTCCAATTTAAGGGTTTATTTACACCAGATGCATTTGGCTATGCTAGTCCCCCTTGCCAAGCAAAGTCCCAACACACGGAGAAGGCAAAGTGTACACCACTGTGTTGCGGTGGTGTGCCCTGAAAAATAAAAGCATTGCACTACTTCTTTTCACTGAATGGTGTTGCAACGCACTACAGCACATTGCTATGTGCTGCAATGAATAAACATGAGTGAAATGTTGTTTTGTGACATTCCAATAAAGTTAAATTTAAAAAAAATATAGACTGTAATCCAGGGCTTGAAATCTCCACTCGCCTTCTCGCCAATGGTGAGTGGAAATTATGGTGGAGGCGATTGTGTCCCCCAGGGCAGTCTTGCTGAGCAGGCTTGGAGCTCAGGCCAGACCTGTCATTGGCACTGGGAGCTGTCAGACTGCTCAATAGCTGAGCGCAGTGAAAGCAAAGCAAGGAGTGTGTGCTGTGCTCTCTGCCTCCCCCTAGAGTGCAGTACCCGGATCTGTGAGTGAACAACGAAGTACTGGAATGTTTTATGGTTGGGGGGGGGGGGGGTGTACGTGTCCATGTGTGTGTGTTTGTGTGTGTCTGTGTATGCATGTACAATTGTACATGTGTGTATGTACATGTGTGTATCTGTACATGTGTCGGTGTGTGCGCATGTATATGTACGTACATGTGTTTGTGTGTGTATTTCTGTGTATGTACATGTATCTGTGTGTATGCGTGTCTGTATGTGACTGTGTGTGTATACATGTGTCTGTATGTGTGCGTGTCTACATGTGTCTCTGTGCGTGTGTGTACATGTATGTGTGTATGTACGTCTGTGTGTGTGTACAGGTGTTTTAGTTTGTGTGTGTTTGTTGGTGGGCGAGTAACTCTAAGGCCTGGCTAGTAGCTCAGGACTTGAAATTTTAAGCCCTGCTGTAATCCGTGCACCAGCACTACGTATGCCATAGCACACACCAGCGGCCGCATTATGAAGTGACTGCTGGTGTGAACAAGCCATAAGGTTCACGCATTTGTTGTGCATTTTTGCAAAAACACATGTACATGTGTTTTTTGTACACTCCTATTGAAGTCTATGGAGCCAAAAACGTGTTCTGCTGCACCAGAAGAAGCACCTGTACCTTTAAAAAAAAAAAAAAATCACACTTCACCATGTTGCATTGATGTGGATGGGCACCACAGAAAATAATGTGATTTCCAGTGCTATGCATTGCAGCATGACAGCAGAGGTGCAACAAATCATAGTAGTGTGAACAGGGCCTAATGTTAGAATGTGGTTTGTACAGAAATACAATTCTTCTATGTTATACTGTAGTTAGTAGTTCTACCACTAGGTGGTGGTGTAAAGCGGCGTTCTCTCTAGTGCAGTTCATGGCTGTGATGTCATTTCCTGTCAGAGTTCCTGTTTCCAATAAAAGCAAGAAGGGCTCCCAGCAATGTGTTCAGCAGCTTCTGACTGGTAAGAAGACATAGTATGCAGCAGATATCCAACAAAGGCAAACCTCTCTGCTCTTAAAGTGTATCCATGGTAAAAATGTAAAATTGTCTATTTATTTCCCCATTGTATTGCAATTATTTCAAGCCTACTCCTATTGCTCTGAATGATCTTGAAGTGTAAACTTTCTTTGTGAAGATCTCCACACAATTTACTTCCTCAAATTCTGAGACACGTAGTCACTATGTCCTGTGAGTAGCACTACTGTGTCACACATTTCACAGAGCCTGCCTTCTGAACTACAGAGGTGCTCAGAGGAGGAGCTTCAGGAGGTGGAGTCAGTATAGGAATCACTGCTTGGTACCATGGGAGATGTAGTCCATGGAAATTGAGAAGCTGCAAGTCATGCAGAGAATCCAGGAAGTTGTGGAAAGACATGACCATCAGACAGGCAGCATGCACAAGGTGCAAGGAGATTTTTTCAAGTAAGAATATATTGGATTGTCAAGTATATATTTTTGTATTGTTATTACAATGCTGATGTTATAAAATTACAGTTTTTTTGCTGTGACCATAGATCTCCTTTAATATCTGTTTTCTCAGGGGTTCATACACATAGGGTTTCCTAACCTACTGGAATCCCTGAAAAAAATTCCAATGGTGACTAAAGCATGGATGGGCAGGCTCAGTTTTGTCTCTTTATTGGTTAGTAAAGACACCCATCATTTAACATCCAAAAAATTGGGTTCAGGAGGTAGCAGCACTGGTCAGGATTTGTATAATTTCCGGTCACCAACATACAAAAAGAAAATTATGTGCAGGAGATTCTAAGTACCTTCTTCAAGTGTGTGTAAAGGCTTTTTTTTTACCGCAGTCAGTATTTTTTTATTTTATTTTTATTTTTTTTTTGCTGTCTGTGTCTCAGGGAGACATTTCTGCCCTATAAACCTCACAGGAAGTGAGAACACATTTTTCCAATGTGAGGGAAACTCCCTCTAAGGCATGGTTTTTCATCCAGGGTTCCATGGACCCCGATGGTTCCTCCAGAAGTTTCCGGGGGTTCCTTGAGCAATAAGCAATTTCTGCCTTTCAGATAAGTTCCCACTGACATCGATCTTTTTTGCAGTCTGTAAGAGGGTAATGCTTCCCAATGACCAAAAGTGTAAAGAGAATTCTTCCCATTGACCATCACACTAATGTATCACGAGTTGTAGATATAATTATTTTTAGCTGGGGTTTATTTCAAGGTTTCCTCTGTCTTGAAAAGGTTAAAGCGGTAGTAAACCGCAAGAAAGAAAAAAAGAAAAAAAAAAGTCCCCTGAAGAAAATGTCATAATGTGCTAGTGTGCATTGCATACTAGCACATTATGTAAAACTTACCTTAAAACTAGGGATGCACCGAACTTTCGGTGGCCGAAAACTAAAAAAAGCACCGATACATGTGCCGAAAAAACCCTGCTCCTCGCCGCCCACCGCCCTGTAGTTCTCAGCCTTGCCTTAGAAACCATCGATCCCGGCGCTGGGCATAGAGATGAGTGAAGGAAAGATGGCCGCCACTCATCTCTATGCCCTTAAAGGACCGGAGCGATGTCACTTCCTGTTCCGGCCATTTTTTTTTTCTTAAGCACTAGATCAAAGCTTTTTTTTTTTGATCCAATGCTTTACATTGCAGAGGAGAGATATAGGGATGTGACCCCACATCTCTCCATAAAGTCACTAATTATTTCTATCACAAAGGATGTATGCATTTCTCGTGATAAGAATAAAAGTGATTTAAATATTTTTTTAAAGGGATAGTGCAAAAAAAAAATTTAAATAAATAAAGTTTAACGTGCCCCCGTCCCCTGTGCTTGCACGTAGTGGTGAACTCATATGTAGGCCATGCCCACATATATAAGCAGTGTTCAAACCACACAGGTGAGGTATCGCCACGAATGTCAGAACAAGAGCAATAATTCTCACACTAGACTTCCTCTGTTACTTTACACTACTAACCTGTAGAAATTTTTAAAGCATCATCCATGGAGATTTTTAAGTACCGCAGTTTCACACCATTCCACAAGCGTGCGCAATTTTAAAGCATGACATGTTGGGTATTTATTTACACGCCTTAACATTCTTTTTCATGTTTTACAAAAAAATTGGGTATATATATATATATATATATATATATATATATATTTTTTTTTTTTTTTTTTATTAAAGTGTATTTTTTTCCCAAAAATATATTCATTTTTAAAAACTGCGTGTTTCGGTTTTCGGGCAAGTGCATTTTGAATGTTCGGTTTCGGCACCAGAATTTTCATTTCCGTGCACCACTACTTAAAATGATGCCCTCCAGTGGCATGCTGTCACCGCTTCAGAGGCTTCCATCTTCACTCGGACCTTCTTCTGGGTTCGCGATCTCCGGCCGTCTGACAGGCCAGGCCCCGATGACTTCACTCCCATGCTACGGCACACAGCTCTGAAGGAATGGCACGGGGATGCCATTCCTTCAGAGCGCATGCGCCGACTTTAGGAAAGAGCTAATATCTCCTAAATGGCTCACGTTTAGGAGATCTTAATTTTATCTACAGGTAAGCTTTATTATAAGCTTACTTGTAGGTAAAATTAAAACGAGTTTACTACAACTTTAAGCCTGCTCTAAGGGCTAGTTTACACTAGCATTGCTCTTTGAAGAGTAATCCACAGTGGGTTTTGCGTTTCAGAGGTCATTGGAGGTGTTGTTTTGCCTCAACGTCTGTTTTAACCCCTAACTGTGCACTACATGTGGTTCCGGCACAGGTCCATTCACTTGAATGGGTCGTGTTTGGCGCGAGGTACTGCCTGGCAAATGTGGCAAAAGGTTTAATCCTTGTCACAAACTGTGTACACTATGTCTGCTGGTTTTTCAGCTTAACCTCCCTAGCGGTCTGATTATGTCCATATTTCTGTGCTCAAAGCGGTACATTTTTTTGCATGGAAATATGTATTTTTTTTATTGTAGACCTGTAATTTTTAGGAATAACTTACTGAAATCTGTCCAAACAAGAGTCTAGTAAACATTCAGAGTATGTTAAAATTTGAAACACAAAATCATAAATTATAATTTAATAAATAATCATAAAAAATAATATAATAATAAATTTAATTCAATAATATAATCAAACCAAAAACACTGAAATTTGAAATATAGCACCAAGTTCGCACATCGCTGAGCAAAGTCGCAAAATCGTTTTCAGTGTCTGATGACGAATTTCCCTACGAATCATCACTCAATTCTGCAAGTAGTTCTAATTTACTATCGCTGTTCTCTAGCTGGTCTAAAACCGATTTTGACCTAAAGGGACGCATTTTTGGACGCCATGGACGTTTTCTCAGTTTCCAGGCAGAAAGAACAATAAAAAAGCAGGCAGGGCACAGGACAAAGCACTAGGGACAAAATGTATGTGAAATGCTTTGATACAGTAATGTTTTACTATGTGATTTTAATGAATGTCACTTTTTGTCATTTTCAAATTTCCCGCCGTTCCGTCCCCATATGTCCTGACGTTGCAGGGAACGGAACCCAGAAGACAGGTGCCGGCATCCGCCAGAGGACATTACAGGGGACACTGCAGGAGGGACATCGCGGGAGCGCAGGACAAGGTAAGAGAAGAACAGATCCCGGAGCAGCGCTGCAAGGTATTCCTGAGTGTAGCTCAGGGTTACCATTTGTGGTACTGAAACTTTACCCCGAGCTACACTCGGGAATACCTCCAGGGAGGCTACGCCCCCCAACCAGAATTGTAAACCAGCCCTGAGAGAGCTGTGGTAAAAGAGGAGATTTTATCACAATGTTCCCAGCAAAGGACACAAAGTTGGTACATATCATTTACTGGCTACACTTATGTCCCCAAACACTGACATTTTTAAGTTTCCTAACGTTCCCCTTTAAGAACAGGAGATAAACTACAGAATCTTTACAGAATAAAATCTGAAGTGACTGTAATGTAATTACAGGCGTACCTCGGTTTACGAACGCCTCGGTTAACGTAATTTTCAGTTTACGAATTAAAGTTCATTGAAAATAATGCCTCGGTTTACAAATTTTTTTCGCAATACGAATTAAGTTTCCCCAGGATGCATTGTGCCTGGGAGGTTTATAGCGCCAGCCCCATGCCTTTAAAGTGCACTATAAAGAGTTTTGAACAGAGAAGACTTTTTTTTTTTACCTCCGGAACAGATTAATTGATTTTCAGTGCATTTACGAATTAATTTTTAATCATGTCCCTGTACAGTATTTATTCCTTTAAAGTGCACTTTATAAAGAGTTTCAAACAGATAAAAAAAATACTTTTTTTACTTTTTTCTGACCTCCAGAACGAATTAATTGGTTTTCAATGCATTTCTATGGGAAACCGCATTTCGGTTAATGAATTTTTCGCAATACAAAACATCCCGGAGAACGCATTAAATTCGTAAACCGAGGTACACCTGTATATATTACTTTACTATAAGACTTAGTGACTACTACATCTGTGAGATGTGAGCACAGAGCAGGCCTCGATCCTCTTTCTGTAGTCCCCCTCCAGTGCTCCTGGTTCCTCCTCTTCTCGTGTGCCACCATAGGAAGCCGCTTCCTATAGTGACACACCTGCAGACCTGATCCCTAACCGAACTGCATGTGTCTGTAGACACAAGCAAGCGTGGCTTGGCCCCGCTCCCTCTTTACAGGATTTGTCTGACAGCAGTGGAAGCCAGTGGCTCCTGCTGCTCTCAGCCAAGCCTGCAAGAGCGGGGAGAAGAGGAGAGAGCTGCTACCGATGAGCACAGCTCTGGATCAACTAAGTATAAGGGAGCAACATTACCATCTAAACTTTTATTTTTTTACTGGAAATGCATAAATACGGGTAGGCAGCTATTCTGACAGTCTATAGGAGCCTGAGATTGGACTCGCAATCTCCTGATTCCAGGTGCAATGGTCTGCAGGTTCCTTGTAAAAATAAAAAATAAATAACTGCAAATTTTTTTAACCGGAAAAAAAAAGCATTTATTTATTTTCAAAAGGTAAACCTATCCTTTAATGTGTGAAAAGCTCCTCTTGTGAGGTAAACATTGTGGAAAGAGTAATTACAGTAAACTGCATATGATCATTCACACTAATTTGCAGGTTCTGTGGAGCAGAATTAACATGTTTTATGACTTTTATAGGACTATTTATACTGTTATGAATTATTATGTGTTATATAATTATATGATGGTAATTTCATACAGACACATACATGTAAATATGCGGAGAATTATAATGTTCAAACTTGTGATATCTGCTCAGAAATAGTGTCAGTGTGATGCTGTTGGTAACTAACAGGTCCACTTTAAACACAGCTTTCTCATTAAGTAGTTTGGTATCTAGAGAACTTTACTTACTATGATATAGGGGTATGACCCTGGTGGCAGGTTCTGATGTGCATAGACATTCTGCAACGTTGGGCCAGACTGGTACATGACAGCCATTGAGCCAGAGAAGTTACTTTGATAATTGGGGTACAGCAGATGTGCAATCTTAGGGTCCGGGGGAGAGTATGGTGGGGGGTCCCCAACAAATGCAGTGTTCTCTATGCCTTTAGGCTCCTCTGAGGTAGGTTTGGGCTGCTGTTGTTGCGGTTGGACGAGGTCTGTACTTGGAGTGTTAGCTCTTTGGCCCATTTCCACAACTGCTTCATTCCTTTCTTCTTCTTGCTGGATCCCAACTTCCATTTCTGTCAAATGAACATAAAATGCATTAGTCTAATATGCACACTCCCTCTACTATATTTTGAACTGATGTATCAAAGTATATGTTAAGGCTTTAAAGGTGTATCAACCAGATTTAAACTGTCCTTTTCCAGTTCAGATTTGAATCCTGCTTGCTCTGAGGCAGTTTAGATTCCCAACAATTTGATGAGTGACAGCAACAGGCTTATTCAGTGGAAAATGTCACACTGATATGCAGGTGTAATAACCCAACTAACTTAGGTTGCTATGCATTGCTGCTCATCCCCTTAATAGGTCTTTTCAGGTCCCCCAACTACCCCAAAACCAGCAGATCTGTACTGGGATTTAAATAGAATCCCAGGGGCTTGCAAACCCTGGACATGTTCCAGACAAATGGCAACCCAGCCAAGCTGTCCATGTGTTGGGAATGCTGTCTTGCAATTTCCATACTTGTAGTCCAACTGGCCACTAATGTTGGGGATTTCCTCCTCCCATTGACCATCAACATTGGTGCAAATGTTCATCTCATGAACTATCAACACGGGCATTTTTCCTCCCGATGACCACTGACGATGGATTATTCTTCACCCTGACTTAATGTAGCTTTTTTAGCCACAGCGTGGATCACATATCTTCTCTGTATATAAACGGAATCTATACTCAGTCTATGAAAAATAAGATATTTATGTATCCTGAACAAACAGTAAAAGTGCTTTAAAACAAGCCTTAATTCACCTTTGTAGCTTTAAGCATTGTGGACAATTCATCTTCAAACTCTCCACAGAGGCATAGTTTTTTTCCCTAACTTCTATGGAAGCAGAATATTGGCAGTCAAGTCGTTCTCTAATGAAAAACACACAGCAGGTGTTTGTAGGCTGCCAATAAACCTACTGAAACTTAACTTTAGAGTTTCTTTCGTAACCTTTGAGAATTTCCTCATAGTACAAGCAGCTAGAAAAGTCAGTACAAGCTTGCTCTAAACCACTCTTACTGCTTGTTACAAATATGCAAAAACTGTAAAGTCTCTGTTCAGGCCACAAGTGCACTTCTAATGTCTCTTTTTCTAAAGTTGGGGGGGGGGGAGCTTACTCTACAGAAATGGCTGTTACTAGTTCCTCCTCAAACACTTGTATATTTGGGGTATAACATAAGATGCACTTCCATAACCAGAAGTTGTGATAGATGTTCACAGTCTCTTAACTTAGATAAAACTATTTAGTGATTAAGAATATTATCCCAGTCTGCGGTAAACCCATATATGATGCAATGCTAAGCTGAGTTGTCATGTTTAGACACCTAATAGATAAGATCTGTAGCTCAGGGTGGTTTAAGTGTGCCTCCATATCTAATTAGCCTGCTGAAAGCTATTGTCAACCTAATGCAAACCTGTGTCACAAGTTTGCTTTACCCTCCCAACCCCCAGCAGCATATACTAGGTGAGTATATGCAGCTGGGAATGGGAGGTTAAAGAGTTACTCCTTTCCCTCCTCAACCATTCAGCAGCTGGAACTGACGGAAATTCCCCATACTTCCAGGTATGGAAAATTATGTGACTTAGTCCATATACTGCATGCTTTGGGGCACTTTTTCCTCCATCTAATGCTGTGGCATTTTTTTTTTTCCTCCAGTGCTAGAGCATTTGCTACTGATAATGAATGTCTGTTTATGCCACAATTTAGCAATGTCCAGTTTTACCAAATGTTATATTTACCAGTGATTGGAATTTTCTTGAACTCTTTGACTACCAACACATCTCCCATCTCACTGATGCTGGGGCATTTTTTCCTTCCAGTGATGCTGGAGCATACCCCTTTCAGCCACGCCCAATATCTAGCCTACCTTTTTTTGCAGCAGTACTGTGTGGATGTGCTCCACATCTTTTCTTTTCCAGGTTGTTCCTGATTATCAAACTCAAACGTTGGGAGGCATGTCATGTGACTGTGATTGGCCAATCAGGGGGGTCCATAACCCTGTGTGAGCTGGGACTCCAGCGACTTATAGCATACACAGGGCTTTGCTTTCACTGCCAGCATCTTACTGTAAAGCAGGGGGATAGCGAATGGAAGGTACAGTGTGGAAGTCTGCATTAAATAGAACCTTTTCATTTGCCCTGCAAGGGTAAAGCACATATTCCCCTTAAATTATCCATAGGATCAAAATTGGGTTGATTCAATGGAGACCAGCCGAATTTCAAACTGTACAGCAGTTTGTGTCCTAACAACCAATGAGGTCATTGGTTGATCAGGAGGATGTTGGGTGTCTACACAGAGTCCTTGTTTGCTCCTCCCCTGCCCCTTTCCATCAGCACCGAGGTCACTTTAGCTGAGGAAGGGAGAGGAACTGAAGGAGAAGAATAACATTAGAATACCAATCAGTACCAGTGTGCAAAGGTGTGTTTGCTTTGAAAGAATAAATCACCTCTAACGTTGGGTGTTCTATGTGTTGGTGTGTTATTAGTTTAGCTTTTTACACAGTATGTTAGAATGGGGTGACTTAAGATTGTGCAGAATTTTAAAGTGTTCTGCAACTGAAAAGAAGGGTGAGAAACACTGGCCTGTAGAGTTAGGCTGACCATACACGGTACCATCTTCGGCTAGTTCCTGGGGAGCCAACCAAAATTCACTCAGCGGGTGGCACTGTTGACCGTGTCCCTCCCGACATCACTCAATTGAAAAATCAAAGAAGTCTGCCTAAATTCATAAAAATTGCCAGGATAATTCCAAAAAAGCTAGGACGCTGTGTAAAATCTTCATGAAAACAGAATGCAATGATGTGCAAATCTCATCAACCCATATTTTATTTATAATAGAAAACATATCAAATGTTTAAACTGAGAAAATTTACCATTTGAAGAAAATAATAAGGCAATTATGAAATTGATGGCAGCAACACATCTCAAAAAAGGTGGGACAGGGCCTTGTTTACTACAGTGTAACAGCCACTGTTCTTTTAACAACACTCTGTAAATGTCTGGGAACTGAGGAGACCAGTGTCTAGAGTTTTGGTAGAGGAATGTTGTCCCATTGCCTGATATAGG